GCTGAAGCAAAAAACAAGGCAAAAAATTCAGAAAGCGGCAAGTCTAAAGTTAAGCGCATGATGAACCGCAAGATTCTGAAGACGACTGCCCGAGTTCCTATGCTTCAGCCTGAGGATCAGACTGATCAGCGTTGAGCCCCATGGTGGCCTCAGCCCCAGCAGCAGAAGAAGAAGGCTTTGCACTCTGCCGAGCCTCCCTTTCCCTCTGTTCAGCTTCCAACTCCATTCTCTCAGCTTCCTCTTCGGCTTCCTCAGCCTTAAGAATTTCAGCTTCGACTGGAGTTGCATACTTCATATGAGGGTCTTCGGGATTCTGGACCCATTCAGCACATTTGGACCAGTCCAGCTTCGGCTCAGCATGAAGGCAGACTTTTCGGCATACTCTGAACCCGTTTCTGAAACCCATCTCATATTCCTCTTGGGTATAGACACGGACTTTGAGTAGAGCCTCAGCATCAGCCAGCTTCTTCTGGGTCTCCTCCAAGTCTTCCTTGGATTTCTTCAGCTCATCAGCGAGCTTGGAGGAGGAACCTTTCAGCTCATTCAGCTCCTGCTGAACTTGGGAAGCCTTTGTCTGAGCCTGGGCCACTTCAACTTTTTTGGTCATCAGTTGATCCTCAGCCTCATGGAGTTTAGCTCTCTGAGCTTTGGCAGCAGCAGCAGCCTCTGAGAGTTGGACATCTCTGGCCTGGAGCAGCTCTTCAGCAGCCATTCGGCTGGCTTCAAGAGCTTCTAGTCGTTGCTGCACTTCATCTTGTGCAGCAGCTCCTTCCTGAATACGGCTCTCAACAGCAGCCTTGAATTTGGAGACGTCCACTCCCATATGCTCCTGGAGGAATTTTTCCCCTTCCATCAGTGGGGGAAAAACTTCCTTCTCCATAGCGTCGCAGAAGGTTTTGAGGGCTTCAGCAGCTCTTTTCTCGTATTCCTCACCCTTCTGCTGCTTCTCTTCAACTGCTGCTTGCTTCAGCTTAGCAAGCTTTAATTCCTCTTCAGCTACCTTCTTGTCGTGCACAGCAGCGTCTACCCTATCTTGTAGGGTATCTATCAGCTCTACAGTGAGAGTCTGATTGTGCACGAACTGAAAACAGGAAGACAAAAAAAATAAATAAAAATAAATATATAATAATAAAAATAGAGCTGAATTTCAGAGGAAATGAAGACAAGGAAAATTACCTGCATCATCAGCAGTTGGTTAGACCTGGCTGGGTCAGGAACTGATCTGCTGGATTCGCCCATCCCAGCAGTGGCCTTCAGCGACCAGATCCTTGCCCTATCTACTTCGGACATGCCAGCAAAATCGCCGAAGTAGGCTGCAGCTCCTTCTCGGTTCTGACCCCATATGAGGTCCCAGATGTGGTCTGGGATTGGAATTCAGGGGGCCGAGAAACCCATTTCTCCAGATTGCAGAGTCTGGAAGGAAGGGAAGGAGGACGATGGAGCTTGATTAGCTTTGGATGGCTCAGCATCATCCTTCTCAGAGGAGTCAATTACTATGACCTCCTCTTCTTCAGGGGTGAGGACGAAAGCCTCAAACTCTCTTGCGATGTCTGCCGTGAAGCCCTCAGCACTGGGCATCACGGCATCCTTGTTTTTGTGCTCAGCAGCACTCTCCTTAATTTCTTCTTGGACCCCTCCCTTAGATTCGGGAGTTCTCTGATCCACCTCCATCTCAGGAGGTGGCGGAGGGGTCTTTTGAGGTGATTGGGGTGGTGGCCGGGGAACCCTCGGCGATCCATTGCCTTCCTCGGGTTCCCTTATTGCAACGCCGATGGTCATCGGCCTCCGCTGAAAGTCATGAGGGCCGATGATGGCCATCCTTCGGCGCCTTTTCTGAAGGGGCTGCTCGTCCATATCCGAGTCTGAAGACTCTCCTTGTATTTGGTCTTCGGGACGAACAGGAGCCTTCCCTTCTCTATGTCTGTTACTCTCTTCAGACTGTAACAGACAGGGGGGAGGAAGAATGTGAGTAAAAAAAAAAAAAAAAAGACAAAGTTAAGTCTGAAAGCTCACCGAGGTCTTCAGCAAAGCCTCGTCTTCTTCTGCTGCCCTAGCTGCAGCTTCAGCTTCAGCAGCTCTGGAGGACCCTTCTCCTCCTTCGCAAGCTTCGAGAACCCGTGCAACCTCTTCGGCTGTACGGGCAGCTTCAGCTTCTTCGTCCAGCAGCTGAAACCAGGGGTCTCTCTTCTTCCACCAAGGCTTCTGCCTCTGATACAGAGCAACAGCCTCAATTTGGAAGTGGGAAGAGTCTAGATGAACTTCCCTATGCCTCGGCTCAGTGATAGACGGGGCCCGTTCAGTTACAACTCGTTCTCGGTTGACACCAAGACGAGCGTAGTTAATGCCAACGTTGGTCTCGTCCCGCTCTGAAAAAGAAAAGGGGAAAGGTCAGTTCAGATAGGTTGGCACAACATAAAAAAGCGAAGCGAGAGAAGAAAAAGAGATAATTAAAAAGCCTCGGCCCCAGCAGAAGAAGCTTACCATCCTTAAACTTTCGGCTGAGGCCAACAGCTGCTAGCATGTTCTCTTGGAAAACGTAATGCGTATCGGGGAGCCAAGTCTCCGGGATATGCTGCATTCGGCCACTGCCCCCCCGGTTCGGCAGCTTGCCGAAGATATGTTGCTGATCAAGGTTCGGATCCGCCCCGTTATCTGCGGGGGGACCTAGACTTCCCATTTCGGGATCAGGTTCAGCGAGGTACCGGGGAGCGCTGAAGACGCAAGGGTGGCCCGGATCTGTGGGTGCCCTAACCCAAATCCATTGACCTCTCCAGTCCTTGTCTGAAGAGTCATTTGGCCACATGGTTAGGTATTAGGGCCGGGACTCAATCCGGTACCACCCAGAACCATGGCTTCCGTGCCCACTTTGAATATTTGGCACTAGGCGATGGAGCTTTTTGAAGCAGTGCAGGTTCGGCACATACTTGAAGAACTTGCAGACCCATAAGTATGTCATCACCCTTCGGATGCTGGTGGGAGTTAACTGACATAGAGAGATGTTGTAATGGATCAGCAAGTCTCGGACGAATACGTCCAAAGGGAACCTCAGCCCGTACTGAAGCTGTCTTGTGTACACCCCCACATACCCCGGGGGTGGACGATGGATTCTATCGGATGCCGAGGGCATTCGGCACCAATACCCATCAGCTTCAAAAATGCCGTAATGCAACTCAATTTGCTCGGCAAATCGATATTGATCGGCATTCTCCACCCACCAAGAGTAGAGGCGGTTCTTTATCATGGCCGAAGCAACTTCGGCATTCTCCCATTCTGAAAACCCGGGGAGGATATCCCAAAGGACAGCGGGAACTTCATCATCCCGTCCAGAAGCGCTCGGCCCCTCCGTTCTCTGAGGAGGAGCCGAGGAAAGGGGAGTCGCCCTAATCCCTTCAGCAGGGTCAGACTCTGGCCTTTGTCCATTCCAGGTCCCAATCCTGTTCCTAGGATCGGGAATCGGCCTTGCTCTTCTTGGAGCACGGGCTCTACCTCTAACTCCTCTTGCCATTGATTATTTCGAAGAAAAAAGTCGAAAGAAAAAGGGAAGGAGTTCGAATTTGAAGAAAAATAAACTGAAATCAAAGGAATTTACCTTAATCTGAAGCGAAAGTTGCCGATTTACGAGTTCGTAGTGGCAAGTCTCAGTTTCTAAGCTTAATGCTCGGGGAATTTGCGAAGTTTTGATGCGGGTTCTTGGTTTCTCTCTCGAGAGTTCTGGGTTTGTGTTGGTGAATAAGTGAGGAGAGATGACGCGCCTCTGTTTATATCTCCAGGAATGGGATACGAGGAGTCTGCGTTTCAATTTCTCTTAAATACTCCACTAAGTAACCGTTAAACACATGATCTTGTGATTAAACTGCCCATTATCCGTCCAACTTCCACAATCATCCGCCTTAACCGTTGTTATCTCATTAATTACGGTTCAAATTCAAATTTTTGGATTAATTAAATCATTTACTTCCCTCCTTTTCTGAATTAAATCAAACCCGACTCGTCATCCTTCCAAATCGGGTCTGGGGGGCAAGTTGTTTGGGTCCAATTTAGTCCAATTGGGCCTAGGCATTAAATGATCCAATTAAAAGCCCAAGGTCAAGGTTCAACTCTCCAATTGTGCTAAAGTCAAAGGTCAGCCCACAAAGCAAGCCAATTGGGCTAAGGCCCAACCTCTCCATGTATGAAGAGGTATAAAAGCCATCAATATTGATACATTTATTATGTTCATTCATATATTCTCATATATTCCATCAAAGCCTCAAGCAACAAACTCTCTTGCATAGTGTCCTCTTCCTACACATTGTACTGACTTTAGCATCGGAGGGGCCTTCCTCGGCAACACCCCCGAGGCTAGTTTACGTGTGTTTACTGTGCAGGAAACCTTCGGCCCAACATAACTTGGACCGAATCCAGCCTTCTCCGTTTCAGCGGACCTTCGGCAAGGTCCCATTGTTTTCACCCGAAACACTTTCAAAGTTCAAATTGACGGCTTGCCAATATCTTTCATTGCTTAAGTTTAATTAACCGTTTGATATTGGTATATAGTCTATATACCAGTATTTCTTAGTAGACTATGTTCATCCAAACACTGGATTTGTAGTTGATGATGTTGCTGTATGCCTGGATATACTATGATTAGACAGTGTGACCATCCAAACACAGGGTGAAGACGTTAAGAATAAGCTGTATGAACCATATCCTGCTAGTGTTCGTTGACATTTAGCTCCAAGACTCTAAACCTGTACCAATCGGGATAAGAGAAGCTCTTCTAGATTTCAAGAGCAGGTAACTGCCATAACATGTACTTTACAAAGCCAGAACATGGTCCATTGATTCCTCACCCAACTCTACTCTAGTGTGATGCGAAGTACATACAGAGTAAATGGTATTGCAACGCGTGCCATAGGCTACTGTGAGGTTTCAGAAAGACAGAGACATTTATATCACCTCTGTAGTCTGTACCACAAAATACCATCACCAAAGTCATATAGGAAAATCACAAGATTGGATGCACGGCAAACAAATGAACTCTGCTCTATAGTTTCAAAAGCTAAATCTCAGCAAGACAAACAACAGAGAGAGCAAGCTTTCTCCAATTCAAATATTCAAATTATTTACGAAAAAAACAATTTAAGATCTGGGGGGTGGGGGTTTGAGTCGATTAGCTACATATGATACGAAACAAACATTTTTTTTTTTTTTTTTTTTGTTTTTCCAATTCCACATGATTGCGTATCAAATAATCACGATAATCCTCAGGCCATCCGAATTGAATCTCTGGGGTATGATGTATCAATCAATCAAAAGCAGGCGTCCAACAAGCAGCAACAGCACAGAGCAGCCAAACTGCAAGCAAACAAGGATTAAGAGTAAGAACATGTACATATAATTCAGACAGTCAAAAGGCAAGGCAACTTGCAAAATGTCTTTTTCATTGCTTGCATATCTCCACAGCCATAAAAGAGAGGGATTATTGAACTTATATTATACACAATCAACGGTCTTTCATCAGTGATGCATGAAAGATGACATAATCCTACAAAGCAAAATTGCAAGTGCTGCAAAAGAAATAATTGATCAGATAAATACAATATCTTGGCTAGACAACTTGACTCCTAGGATAAGAATAATACTCACATCTTCTCGAAATGCTAAAGCAATCAAAGCATCCACCTAAATTATCACATGGTACAACATATGAATAAGATTGACCAGTCCACCACCAGACCCAAAGAGGAGCGACGAGGTCAAACCATTTTATTAAAAAAATGATGATTAAGATCAAATTTGTGGATAACATTATTAAACTACAGAACGACTGTCGAAAATTAAACTGATCCGTACATAGTTAATCTTATTAATTAATTGGTTGATCCTAAACTCGGTGACAAACACCCTAAAGACTAGACTAAACGAGGAGTTTTAAAACATTGAAATGACAGCTGGCAAGTGTAAGTGTGGGGGTACATGAAGAGATTGCGTGGTAATTACTAACAGAAGCAATTTGGAAGAAGCAGACATTGCTCCAGATGAACACTGCCCAAATAAATTCCAAGACACAAGACTTTAAACTTTGAACCTAGTCGGATGAATAATAATTAAGTTGAAATTCAGAGACAAGAGACACTGAAACAAAACTTCATTCCACCTACAACCATATTTAAGCTGTCAATATTGAAGGATTCCCACTAATAATAAAATCAGATACTCAAGGACTTAATTTTGTTCACATAAACAACTGTTCATCACAATATACTCCCTCTTCTTTGGGCCTTCTATATCTAAAAGCACATACTTTATTTCACATACAGAGTACAAAGAAAATACTGATAGTCACCAAAAGCGTAATGAAATAACTTCAAAAAACACTGATATCAATCATCCATTAATTTGAATAAGGGGAATAAAAAGGGATTAAAGACTGTTATCCAACCACAACACAATAAGAATACGTTAAGATACAGAAGACATTATTAAGACCGTTTGCTGGAAAAGCATTAGGACATGAAGAAACATATATTAGCCCAAATGCTTAATTAAAACAGCTATACACCAATAATTAACTAATTCCTTTCTATTTCCAGCTAACCATAACAGCAGAGAAATCTCAACATCTGTTGCTGGAAATGCATCAGAACAACAATGTATATTAGGCCAAATTCCCATTTTTGCTTAATAACAAGAATTACAACCAACAGATACCAATAATTAGCAAAAACCCACTTTAACTCCAGCTAATCAAAACAGACTTCTACCAAAGCTAAACAGCAAAGGAATAAACCTTTGCAACACTTAATGATTACTCATGTTAAACTTTTGAGCACAATTATGAGAAGGCAGGGTTTCCACATGACACATAAAAAGACAGCATTTTTAAAAGCCTAAATAAGCACTAAATCCACATGTTAAAGTCTAAATAAGCACTGGATCCGTCTAACTTATGCAACACAACGACTAAATCCTGATTCCGGGAAATTTGTGAAGTATAACATAATCATAATACAAAACCGCCAAAACATGAAAACATTTACATGAAACAGGGATCTCAAAAGTAGTTATATCTTATATGACATGGTACCAGTAAGTCCATTACATAAGAATGCATTACATACAAATAACAAATTTCATCATCCGTGACACGATATTGAGTCTGTTGAATCAGTCTATAAATGCTATCATTATCATTCCACGGGAGCAGTGGCCAATTCAATTTGCAGCAAAACTTATGGTTAAAAAAACAAATTCAGAAAATTGACATTGATATGTAGATTCACAATTTCAAAGCCTAAATTTCATAGTTGAGATAATAAGGATAAGTGAAGGTGGTCCAAAAATATGTGTATCCAAGAAAGCTGACAGTTCTGGCATTATAATACTAGGAGTATCTTGGACGTCAAAATATCTGAATATTTATTTCAACAAATTAGACAATTAATCCAATAAACGCCCGAAAATACCCTCACGTTATATCCAATTACAGCAAAAAAAAGGGTAATAACGTCATTCAATAATATAATTAAAAAAAAAAAACTCAACAAACCAACCAAAATCAACGGAGGCTTGCAAACCTCCAAGTCCAGTCCAACTCATCCATCCGAGTTGAACCGCTCTCCATAAAAAAAAAAAAAACAGATCGAGTGGATGCAGATCTAATGGGGGTAAGAAAGGAAATTACCATCCTTCCATGAAACCAACACTCTGTTGTTGTTGCTGAGGAGGAGGCTGCGCGTACTGAGGGGCGTATTGTTGGGGAGGGTACCCTTGTTGTGGGTATCCTCCTGGTGGAGGGTACCCTTGTTGTGGGTACCCTTGCGCAGGGTATCCTGGTGGTGGGTACGCGTCTTTTGGGTATGGTGGGTAACCTGTTTCGATTTTCCAGAAAACTCAAGATCAATCTCAATTATAATTTTAATAAAATCAAATCGGAGAGAAAAACACAATTAGACAGACCTTGAGGAGGAGGAACGCCGACGGGGGGTTGTTGTTGATTGTAGTAACTCATGGAGGAGTGTTTGTGTGTATGAATGTGTGAGAGATTTGATTGATTATATAGAAATTGTGAAAAGGGGTTCTTAAAGAGAGGAAGAAGAAAGAGGGAGGTTTATTTATATAATGAGGAGAGAGAAAGTATTATGTTATGTTAAATACAATTGGGTCATCCTTCAAAAAAAATAAAAATACAATTGGCTCATCCTTCCAAAAAAAAAAAATACAATTACTTAACGAGTCTCACATGACATCCACTTACACTCATTGACTCATTGTGTTGTTGGGTATAGCAGCCTACGTTGACAACGCGCTTATACCTTCTATACTTTGCTTCTATACCTTCTACGATGGGTTTTCCTATCCTACTTGCATATTCCTTTCCAGGCCTTTTCTTAAGTGCTAATTTGGTACCGGTAAAATTCATACTAATTGGTTGGATTATATTTGCTAATTATTTTGCCTAATTTAGTTTTTGCTTTCTTTATTGTTAATAAATATTTCAATATGCTTAACAATTAAGATTTGTCAATTATTTTTATCTATCATTTATAACTCGATTGACGACACTATATTTTTTATCAAGTCGTGTTTTCTTTACTTTATACTTGTCACTTGTGTGAGTTAGTGACGTTAGAAGTGAAAACATAATGATTCAGAACGAGTTTGTTTGGACTCTTTCCTCCAAATTTAAATGGATCTTAATTCAAACATATACCTAAGGGTGCTAATCTGAGTTAAGCAACTCGCGAGCAAGTCGAACTTGATTCGATATGGCTCAACTGGACATGTTAACGAGCACGAATTGAACAAGCTCTAACTCGACTCAATAAGCTCTTGAGCAACTCGATAATAAATTTTATTAATATATAATTTACAAACAAAGTTACCATGTATAAAATATATTTGACACTTAATAAGAGTTAATTTATATTACGAAGTATATAAAAAAAATGGTAAATCTTTAATAATAAACAAAAAAAAAACCTATATAAAGTGGAAAAAAAATAAAGGAATAACTTTAGAAGGATCAAAACCTTAACGAGCATTCGTTAAAAGAAATAATAAAAAAAAACCTTAACAAGAAGATCGTGAGCTACTCGACTCAAAACTTTAATGAGCATGAGTCGAGCAGGTTTTATTGAATCGAAACTTTAGTGAGCACGAGTTGAGTACAAGTAAAAAGTTTTCGAGTCGAATCGAGCATCCCTCAGCTCGTGATCGGGTCGAATCGAAAAATTAAAAACCGAATTATATTTCGCATTAAATTGGATTTGGCCTAAATTCAAACTAAAAACCGAATGGACACGCCTAACCCTAGTTATTTTTCCAATCCGGACTCACCTACTTGAAAAGTCGAAAATGACATGACCGACCCGTTTCGTCTCAACCCAAGTTACCACCAACTCACACAAACATGATATCGGCTCAACTGCAAACAAAACCAATGCAAGTCCATAAACTCCCACTCCTCAGATCCTTTTCCACCACCACCAACTCCGCTGTAACTCCACCGTCAAATTCTCTCTCCTCCGCCGCAACCGCCATAGCCAACCTCGTCCTCACCACAGAAGACCCCAAAATCCTCTCAAAAACCCTCTTATCATCCCCAGATTTCACCTTCTCCGAACACCTTGTCAATAAAACCCTCAAACTCCTCTGGAATCATGGCCCCAAAGCCCTCCAATTCTTCACCATTCTCGACAATCACCTCGATTACGCCCACTCTCTCTCCTCCTTCCACCACGCCATTGACATTTCTGCTCGTTTACGCGACATCACAACTCTCTGGACTCTCGTCTCCCGCCTTCGCTCTCGCCGATTGGGTCCCACACCATTAACATTCGCTATTATTATCGAAAGGTATGTTCTCTCTGGGAAACCTGATAAAGCTATTGATATTTTCTTGTCTATGCATAAGCATGGCTGTTCACAAGATTTGAATTCGTTTAATACTTTGTTGGATATACTGTGTAAATCGAAAAGGGTTGAAAAGGCGCATAATTTGTTTAAGCTTTTTAAGGGTAGATTTGGGGTTGATGTTGTTAGTTATAACATAATTGCAAATGGGTGGTGTTTGATTAAAAGGACTCCTAGAGCTTTGGAGGTGTTGAAGGAGATGGTGGAGAGGGGTTTGAACCCTACATTGACTACCTATAACATAATCTTGAAAGGGTATTTTCGGACCGGACAAACGAAAGAGGCGTGGGAGTTTTTCAAGGAGATGAAGAAGAGGAATTGTGAGATTGATGTGGTAACTTACACTACTTTGATTCATGGGTTTGGGGTTTTAGGGGAGGTTTCCAAAGCTAGGAGGTTGTTTGATGAGATGGTGGGAGAAGGGGTTCTTCCGAATGTTGCCACTTATAATGCTATGATCCAAGTATTGTGTAAGAAGGATAGCGTTGAGAATGCGATTGTTTTGTTTGAGGAGATGGGGAGGAAGGGGTATGTAGCTAATTCAGTGACTTATAATTTGTTGATTAGAGGGTTGTGTCACACGGGGGAGATGGATAAGGCGATGGAGTTCGTTGAGTTGATGAAGAATGATGGATGTCATCCAAATGTTCAGACTTGTAATTTGTTGATTAGGTACTATTGTGATGCTGGGGATATTGAGCAAGGTTTGGATGTTTTTTATTTGATGGGTTCTTGGAGGTGCTTGCCAAATAAAGATACTTACAATATCTTGATAGGTTCCACTTTTGTGAGGAAGAAATCAGAGGATTTGGTTGTTGCAGGTAGGCTGTTGATTGAGATGGTGGAAAGAGGGTTTCTTCCTACAAAGTTTATCTACAATCGTGTTCTGAATGGGCTTTTGGTGACAGGAAACCAAGCTTTTGCTAGAGAGATTCTGCAATTGCAGAGTAAACTTGGATCCCTTCCTCGGCACTTTAAATTATGAAAGCATATTGGATGAATTTGTAGATTGCAGATTGCTGAAGTCCATACTGTCTCAGAGGGCTCTTCAGCCAAGGGGGTAAAAGGTTTGGATGGGTTGAATTGGGTGGTGTTAGCCCTGTTAGGTGTGGTGAGTTGGTTATTTGGCCAAAGATATTGGTATGCGGATGGATGATGACAGAACTCCAGAACAAAAGCTTTTGTTTTTTCTGGTCATAGCTATCAGGCATCTCAATTTGGAGGGCTTTTTGATACATTAAGAGTTGCTCAAGGAAATGATTGAACTATTCCTTTATCCTATAATTTCTGTTCCATCATGCTAGCTGGGACTTAGGTAGTTAGGTTATTTCAACTCGAGATATTATGTACGTGGGAGCGACAGATCCAGCTTCGTTTGAGGTTGAATTCCATTGGTGTCATAGTGGCTGCCTACTGTTTCGAACTCTTGAAGCTTTGGGGGACAGAAAACTGGACAATATTGAATCACTCGGCACTGTGTGCTCTCGTTCCAGAGATTTCAATTACATATACTTATTTACGAAGTATCACTGAGAGCACGTGCTGAAGAAAATTGGAATGCCTTCTCTGAGGTGTCCTCTGGCAGAATAGGGATGGGACCTGGTGATCTCAGAATTTATGTTAAGTGGCAAGCCCCTCCTACTGAATGGATGACTCTTAATACTGATGGGAAGCAAGAGGAGCTCCCTGTCCAGCAGGGGAGGGGGGGGGGGGGGGAGGTATCCTTCGTGACAGTTCAGAGCAATTCATCAGAAGTTTTGCAGCAAACTTTGGTGTGTGCAATGCTAACAGAGCTGAGTTCCTAGCTCTGGAATTGGGACTCAGAATGGCTGCTGACTTGGGAATTACAATGCTGATGGTCAAATGGAAAATAAGGAAGCTATTCAGAATGCAGATCTCCATGGAGGGGAGTGCGTTCATATTTTAAATTCTTGTCGTCATTTGATTAGTTCCTTTGGTTGTAATTTTCGTAGTGTTTTTTGTTATTGGGAGGGTAAAAGGGTAGCTGATAAGTTAGCTAATTTAGGAGTAATCCTTGAAGACCGGGCGCTTTATTTCGGTACTCCGATCGAAATAAAGAACCTTCTCTAGGAAGATGTAGTTGGGGTGGCCTTGCCACAATTTGTTAATTATTTTTAGTGTCTCTGTTGGGTTCGTCCCTCATTTGCATCCAAAAATAAAAATAAAATTACGAAGTATCACTTTGTAACAAGAACTTTTCCCATCTAAACAGAGTTGAATTATGCATAAAACTTGTTTGCAAATATTTTAGAACTTGTTAATCGTACGTGTAATAAACTGGCTGCTTCTGTTAGTCTTTGGCCATGGAGTTGCTGACTAACTCAAAATTTTTGTTTGCTCAAATGTTGCTTAGATGAGTTAGATCAGTATATATATATAGGCATATAGCACATTAGCACCTTTTTGATCCCTCGAAGTATATTCCGGTTTGTAGAGGTACAAATTGGTTCAATGGTGTTTTCTAAGTTGCCTTAGGAGTAAATTGTAGGATTTATAAGGTTCAGGAACGCGATAATCTTTATTATATTGATCTGGTTCAAGTGAGAAATTGTGCTTTGTTTCCTGATGAAAGTTTATTCTGCATCTTTGTTATATACAAGTGCTAGGTATATTGCTTGTAAGTAAACTTCTTTTGTTGTAGGATACCTTGAAATATAGCTAGGATCTAGTATATTTTAGTATCTATTAAGGGTTTACACTCTACTAAAGTTATTAATTGCAAAAATTGATACTCATACTCTTGTTGCATCAACATGTATAATCGATAATAGATCAGGATAAATAGGTCAAAATCAGTAATCACGCTTACATAGGAAAAAAATTGACAACACAACAAAATCAAATAGAGTAAATAACTTCCAAGTGAAAGATCTAAAGAATTTACTACAAAATAAACTAGATCTTCTCTCTTTTTGTTATGGGATTCAAAAGCAATATAAATAATCCAGTATGCTTGTTAAAAACAATCGAAGCAGGCATCCAAAATGCAACAGAAGCAGAGAGCATATTCTATTATTTATGTATGAGAAAAGAATTAATATGTAAACGATACACATAAGAAATTGAAACATATTAGAATATAATCTAATACGAAGTACAAGTGAGAGGAAGAGGGGAGTACAGTTGGTTACGTACCATCCTTCCAAGCAACCAACTTGCTTCTTCTGCTCTTGTGGAGGAGGTGGTGGTGGGGCAGCATACTGAGGGGCATATTGCGGTGGAGGGTAACCGCCCATTGGTGGTGGCGGGTAACCTTGATCTGGAGGAGGGTAACCTTAATCAACCCAGGCCAATAAATAATTAAAAAGTGTCAAAATTAATATATAATCAAGAATTTAAATTGTGTTAATACTTCGTCGCAAGTAGTGCTCGATTATTCGTGGATGATGAATGAATGAAAGAAAGATGATGAAGAGACAAAATAAGATAAGTAACCTTGAGGAGGAGGATAACTCATTTTATTTGTGTTTCTGCCTCACTATGCCCCTCTTCTTCTTCTTCTTCTTCTTCTTCTTCTTCTTCTTCTTCTTCTTCTTCTTCTTCTTCTTCTTCTTCTTCTTCTTCTTTCTTCTTCTTCTTTCTTCTTCTTCTTCTTCTTCTTCTTCTTCTTCTTCTTCTTCTTCTTCTTCTTTCTTCTTCTTCTTCTTCTTCTTCTTCTTCTTCTTCTTCTTCTTCTTCTTCTTCTTCTTCTTCTTCTTCTTCTTCTTCTTCTTCTTCTTCTTCTTCTTCTTCTTTCTTCTTCTTCTTCTTCTTCTTCTTCTTCTTCTTCTTCTTCTTCTTCTTCTTCTTCTTCTTTCTTCTTCTTCTTCTTCTTCTTCTTCTTCTTCTTCTTCTTCTTCTTCTTCTTCTTTCTTCTTCTTCTTCTTCTTCTTCTTCTTCTTCTTCTTCTTCTTCTTCTTCTTCTTCTTCTTCTTCTTCTTCTTCTTCTTCTTTCTTCTTCTTCTTCTTCTTCTTCTTCTTCTTCTTTCTTCTTCTTCTTCTTTCTTCTTCTTCTTCTTCTTCTTCTTCTTCTTCTTCTTCTTCTTCTTCTTCTTCTTCTTCTTCTTCTTCTTCTTCTTCTTCTTCTTCTTCTTCTTCTTCTTCTTCTTCTTTTTTTTTTTTTTTTTTTTTTTTTTTTTTTTTTTTTTTTTTTTTTTTTTTTTTTTTTTTTTTTTTTTTTTTTTTTTTTTTTTTTCTTCTTCTTCTTGTGATTGTACTAACTGTTAAGATAGCCAACAAAGTCGTTGTATTTAATGACAATACGAGGTACGTACTACCACGTTTTCCTATGTCATTTTTTTAACAGTATTTGAGGAAACGTTTTTATGTCTTCCTATGATTTGGACTCTTTCGACAAACGACATGCTGTTGTACTTGTACGGAGTATATTCAATCCTATTTTTATTAATTGTTTTAAGTTGTCCTTAACTTTCTTTTTCTCTAGTAAACTAACAATGCTAGTCTTGCACACTCCGTATCTTAAAATTGTGATGCGTATTTTTGACAGTTTATATTTAGTGAAAGGATTTGAGTGATTTTAATGGTGGAAATTTGAAGGATAGTCTTAGAAGGCAACGACTTCTAAGTTTGATTTTAGGAGCAACGATCCTAAAACCCTAGTTAACAACTAGTTCGAACCTTAACAAAGTTCTCTTCGAGTTAAAACTCAACAATCTGATTTTTATTTCATAAACGTCCTCCTAAAATAATTGACATACAACTAGTATATATAGGAAAAATAAATCTATCCTACTTACTCTGCAAGCAAACTAAATAAAAAGCCCTAATAATTAATTAATGAATTTAGAGAGCCTACTAATTAATTAACACAACTTTGGAAGCCCAAGGCCCCATAACTACTATTAAGAAAATAATTAAAACATTATTAAAAACTCACTTGTAAAACCCCTACTTTAAGAGTAAGGTAAAATCATGAGAGTAGCTAAATAAAACAATAAAAAATAGTTATAAGAAAGGGGACTCGATTCACATTAAATTGCTACAATTTGTATTTTAAGTATCGGAAAATCCATTCTTGATTGACAAACAACGTTAAACTAGGCCCATTTTTGATATTTTCACCTGTCTTAGTAAGGACGCATTTGTAAATTCATATCGCTGACATGTACAAACACACACGTCTACGCTGCAACACCTGCCATGTCATTCTTCGCCGTTTAAACGTTGCCTAACTCATTAGTCGTGAGTTTAACTATGTTTAGGGTTTTCAAACAAATCAGCACCAATTTTCACTGTCTCTCACCTTCGACGACTGCCGCTGAACAAACCAGAACAAAAGGAGGCCTTCAATTTGGTAAGATTTAACCAAATGTGACTATTTTGTTGCAAATTGTACTTAAATTATGAATGACTTGTTTGAATGATACAGGTTGGTCGTATGGGACAACTCGTTGTGGGAAAAAGGAGGCATCCGATGAATGACAATAGTGGTGGTGAAGCATACGAGGAGAAAGACAAGTCTGTAAGTCGCTAATCATAATTTTGGTTGCTAAATTTTGACTTTAGTTGACTAGAATTGTTAAGTGTAGAAAAATGGGTATAATTGTAGAATTGTTCCAGGACATATACTTGAATTGTTCACAAAAATGGGTAGAATTCAATTATATTTCCAGTTCAATTTTTCAATTGTAGCTCGTGAGAGTTTTGAAAAAAGTTTTAATTGTTGATTGGTAACTCTATTATATTTCAGTTGGGATTATCTATTGTAGCTCGTAAATGTCTGAAAATGGGTATAAACTATAGTTTTGATTTGTAAATTCAGCAACGGGCAATTGGTAATGGAATTGTTCACAAAACAATTGAATTACATCCTGGACTATTTACGGTAATGACTAATGTTTTTGTACCAAAACAATTGAATTACCCAGTAACTATTGTTCCATTTTAATACCAATAAGCTTACGTAGTTGATGGATTGTAGGATGACACGCTAAGTTTGGGTGGTTATGTGAAAGCAAAAGGGCAAGTGATTAATCAATATTTTGCTGCAATGTGTAGAGTGAGTTCCATGCTTAAACTGTTTATATAAATTAAAGATGATGATATTGGTTTATTAAAGGTTAATGTAGGCTAACGTATACATTTTGTTGTGTCAAACATGAATGGCAGACCCCAAATATGACTTGTCGGGTTGAGTCCTTTGGTAGAATATGCCAGAAATTTGATGAAAGGAGGAAAAGATGGGTATGTGAGATGGGATTTGGGGGACTACTACATTTTGCTTCCCATATGCACTTACCCCGACAATTATTAGCATACCGGATTATGACACCTATTGATCCAATTAATAGGTGGTTAATTGGCACAAATGGTCGTTCAGTTTACTTTTCGAAGAACCAAGTGCATTGGATCTTAGGAATTCCTAATGGGGAGAAAGCAGTCCCTACATCCAAGGATGTGTCTGGGGTCGATCGGAAGAAAGTGCAAAAAATATTACTAAAATACGGGAGGGCATGGGAGACGAAAGCTAATAAACATTGTTCCAGGACATATACTTTACTTCAGTTGGCATTCCTGTTACTGGAATGATGATGGATAGATTGGAGGGACATTTTGAGCCGGATGAGGAAGAAGAATTCAAAACCTTATTCCTCATCATTTCTCTACAATGATATTGTGTCCAACACAGTCACCTAGACTGTCATCTGATTTGTTGCCGGCATTGAGTTGTTGTATGGATAGCAAAAACTATGATTGGTGTGAATTGGTTTTATCAAAATTCTTAGATAGTGTCTCTAATTTTGCGAGATGGTTTTATGCAAATTAAATGGATTTGCAGGTGGAAGCGGTGGTTGTTCTATATTTGCAGTAGTGAGTAAATCAAATATGCTTTTTGCTCTTATGGTGTTCAAGATGCTAATGTTCTTTTTACTAAAGTTTAAAAATGATTACGAAAGATAATGGACCTCCTTGCAGATTTTCTATCTTGACCGACTGAACTTGGATCCTAATGCGTGGGATACATATCCTCGAGTAAAGGCATGGAGCTTGCAAAGAATTAGGTATGCAGGCAAGCATGACCGAACTGATTCCGGTGACTATGGAAAACTAGGGGTATGTATAGTGTGTTAATGTCCTACTATATTTGTTTTTGTGTGTGCGAGTTCATTACATAGGATCTTTCGCTGAAATATTACAAGTAGGTGGGAAATATTCTGGGCATTCCATTTGTGAATCACTTGTATTGTCCTCGCGATGATGAGGCTCATTAACAGTTGACACGGTATTCCCGCTGGCATTTTCTACCAATTCGAAATCAGTTGCCTCATCAGGAAATGATATAGGTATACTCTCTGCTGCCTTCCTAAGCCTGCATTCTTGAACTTCATTCCTAATATGCATTAATGACTTGCTTACCATGGTAACTGCATCATCATTCACCATAGCAGCTGTGTCACATAACTCTTCAAACTCAGCCATCAACTTATTATACCTTTTCACAGCCGCATATTTATTTGGGTCGTGGTAGGAAACCGCAACCCGGGTGTGCTTACTAAGAATATCCTTGCGCCATCGCCTTAGAACATATTTTTCAGGAATTTCAACCACATGATGCTTATCAAGTATTTGCATCATATGTTTGCACATTATACCATGTGTGACGAATTTGCGACATTGACATTCAACCTCCATTGTCTCCTTGTTGAATGTGGCTGTAAAATACCTTCTACAATTGGTTATGACTTCTTCACTCTTACCTTCTGGTACAATCCACACACGGTCGTCTACATCATACTCAATTGTATTTTCGTCTAACATTTTACTTTCCTTATAATAACAATACATCATTTGAGTACATTCATTCTGCACCTCCTGAAACTTGGTGTCTGTGTACAAACTCTGAAAATATTTCTCAACCTTAAAACCAGTCACTAGCCTCCGTACATACTTAGCACAATTTGCATCAGCAGCTGTCTCGTCACGCACATGCTTCTCCATGGCCTTCGCATATTTAATTGGAAATTCAAATAGCTTGGTGTTACGAATCACAAAACCATCAAAGAAACTATTTATACTTTCCACCCGTTGAGTTATCTTCATTCCAGCCCAAAAATAGTCTCTCATATACGCGGGAACCCACATATGCCGCTCAGTATAAAGGTTTGACAACCAATCATTGCTCTCTAAATTATATTCATTTATTAGCTCTGCCCAATCTTTCTCGAACTCTTGAACAGTCAAACTTTCATACACTATAGCCTTCAAAACTGGTTTGAAATCTTTGTACCTACAATTCGTTACAGATTAGGGTTTTAGTTTTAATATTCGTAATAAAGGTATTATCACAATCTATAGAATAATAAATTTGTAATACTAACTCATTGCATTTCCCCAATTTTTTAGGAATTTTCCTCATAATGTGCCAAATGCACCATTGATATCGCGACGATGGCATCACCTCCTCTAAGGGCTTCCTCATGGCCGCTGCCTTGTCAGTAAGAATTGCTCTTGGGGCTTTGTTATTCATACATGACAACCACTCTTGAAAAATCCATCTAAAAGTATCACTGTCCTCGTGGGAAACCAATGCACATCCCAACTGTATGGTTTGACCATGATGGTTTACACCCACAAAATTAACAAATGGTAATTCATACTCATTTGTTAGATAAGTGGCATCAAAACATACAACATCACCAAATTCTTCATATGCTGCCCGACTTCGCCCATCAACCCAGATTACATTTTTTAACCTACCATCAGGGTCTAAGCGTGCAGAATGAAAGAAATTCTTGTTGCCTTGCATTTTCTTAAAATAAGTCATCATTGTTCTTGAATCACCCTCAATCATTTTCAACCTCCTTGCCTTGTATACCTCATGCTGCAGGTTTTTCACGGTAAATCAAAGGTTATCGAGCCCATCTACTTCAGTCGCAAAAGCACCCATGAATTTGTGAAACAGGCACACCTTCTTCAAAATAGTCCAGCAACTTCTTCCTAGCTCTCGATGTTAAGCCCCTCATTCTATACACTTTCACTGCCTTACGTGGGGTAGGATTGTGCGTATGTTCCAACTTCACTCTCTTTATCTCCCACTCCCCACCATGGTTAATACTAGCATATACCTTTGCTAGACACTCACTTTTTTTTGACTTTCGCTTACATTGGTTTAGCTCATCCACACACACGACACCCCCAACAACTCCTCCCCAGATACATCCATTGCCTTTGCCCTCTTCTTTGCTTCCCTCATCGCTCTCATGTCTGGTCTACCCCAGCATTCACACCTCCATGTTGTTGCAATACGGTCTCTACCCTCACCTTTTGAATACACACCTTGAGCCCTAGTCACTCCAAATCCCTAGTCACTCCAAATCACAACCAAGTGCACCAACATACATTACCTTCTTACTTTTAAAGTACTTTTAGATAAACAACACATGCTGGCTACACTATGCTATTATAAATTCTTTGCTCCAACAAAAACACAACTTTTTTTAATAATATTTGATCACACAATACCCATAAATTAGTTCCAAATACCATCAAATTTCTACTTTTAGCTTCTACCATATTACAACATCAAACTACTAACACAATATTTCACACATTAAAGATTTCACCAGAAATTAAAAATTTAACGAATTCAAATTTTGTTTTAGATTTTTAAGTCATAGTACTAAACAAAGATTTACAAACATTTTCGTAAAGAAAATTTTAAAGATCAAGACTAACCTTCCAAACATTTTCAAGATTTTGATGATTTTAGCCATTTGTTACCACCACTTGAAATGATCCAAAATCAACATCTCTCTGGAACGATCACTCAACTGTTTCCTCAGTCATTCTTCTGCCACAAGAAATTTTTCTACAAATTTGCTACAGTATGAATCTTGGAAGGGAAGAAATAACATTCAAACACCTAAATTTGACTGGTCTCTAACTACCAACTACCAACAATAAAAGCAGTCATTAATGTCCACCTTCACCCTCAAGTAACTCACTAACTCACCCACTAACTAATGGACCTAACAGAAGTAAACTACCGGCGTTAACATAAAGCTTTCCTCCGTGTACCTTCCTTCTGCTGAATCATCTTCCAGTCACTCAACCTGCTGATGTAGTGACAAAGATACAAAGTTTGTCCATCAAGAAGAATAACTGGGCGAGCCTCTTTAAGTATTTACCATGCATGTTTATATGAAAATCAATGTTATATTGTTAATACATTTAAGATAGCATAACAAATAACAAGTAACAAAAACTGCTAATGGTCTAATATAAGTTGTGTTAATGTACATCAAAGTGTAGTTAATTACAAAGATGCAAAGAAAAAATAGTCAACTTATATTCCTACATTTTCCCCCCCCATCATTTAATCCTTGATCCTTTGATTATATACATATATGTGTAATTTATGTACTATACAAGTTAATAATGCAAATTACATTCTTAATGGAAAGAATCAATCAAGTTTACAAATTAAAAATTGACTTCCGAAAAATAACACTACTCAAAAATCAAGCATAACATGGTCATGTCTCGGGGAGCTTCTTAAATCCCCTACAATGTTACCGAAAATATATAGATATAAACGTTTTTTAATAACCTTATTATCAATGTTATAAAAAATACGTAGTAATAGATATTGGCTGTAGATACTCCGTAGTAGTAAAGTGATCTCTCCATTTTATATTGTTGTCCTTCTTTGTAGTCAACCTAAAAATGTGTAATTATGCCATTCCCTAGCTTATGATACTCAGAGGATAAGGAAGCTTAGATTTTGGGATCAAATGAGTTGAACTAACCCACCCTACCAATTACCAAATCTCAACACAGTACAAATATGTGATTGTCATCTTTTTATTTAATTCAATGCAACAACTAACTGGATTATGTTGAATTAGTCCAACTAATAATAAGTACAGTCATGGATAATAAGTTATCAATAGGTACAAATTCACACATAATATTATTTAGCCTTTCATTCATATAAACGCATATACGATGTATAGAGACAATAGAAAAGTTGTTTGTCTTATTATTACTTTTAATTTTAAACTTCGTAGTGTCCTCTTCTACTTTTTGTTTGCAGTTGCCTCCTTTTACTGCTTGTGTAGTGTCCTCTTCAACCCGTATGGTTAGTCTTAATTAAATTAACTTAGATTCTAAAGCAAGATCGAAAATATTAGTGAATTCATTAAGAAGCTAAGTAAATCTATATTATTCGATTGAATAGGTTGTTGAATAGCAAAACACACAATAATCAACAAAAGCCGAAAAACATATAGCTAGCTAGCTAGCTCTTTTAATTTGATATTAATAGTTTGGTACCCAATTAAAGTGTTACAAATAAGATTGAACAAACGCAAAGCAATAAGCTAGACTAAACCAACTAAACAATTGCAAATGAAAGATCCAAGAAAAACCTTGATCTGGAGGTGGGTAGCCTAAACATCCAAGAAAAACACAAAATCATCAATATTAACACCTATACGTTTATCACACAATAAAATTAATACTGTTTAAGTGCATGTCAAAAAAATAAATTTAATTAAAAAATGATAGATTTCAATTTTATTTTTTTTAAAAATGGTTTACCTTGAGGAGGAGGATAGCTACTCATTTAATTAGTCTTTGTTTTCTTCTCTGTCAAAAAATGGAAGGCATGCGCAAAGATAATGGTGTTGTATTTAACGAATTATGACCACGGTATCTACACGGATACCATACGCCTTAGATAATGGACTTAATTCTATCTCTTGCTTTTTTAGTGTTTTTTACTTTTTATTGTGCTGTGTATTTTATGTTTTTAAAAGTTGATTTATATAAATTCACTACCTACAATTTATAATGGTCTTCATAATTTCAACACATCAATAGTGATATAAAGACATACCATTAATGATTATAACAGAATATATCAATAGAGATATCAAGACATACCCATTAACGGTTATAACAGAAGATATCAATAGAGATATAAAAACATACCCATTAACGATTATAATATCAATAGAGATATAAAAACATACCCATTAACAATTATGACAGAAGATATCAAGACATACTCATTAACAATTATAAAAAATAATGGTCAAAGATGTTCACACACTAGCTAATAGCTAACCAAGATACCTCTAAATATGTTTAGCAGATACAAAGTATCAGATCAAATTATGTCCTTCTGTATCATAGTAGTATATATAATGCATATTTTATGGCATTGCATGTGGGCGCTCCCTCCCCGCCACTCCGTGATTGAATTCATCAAAGTAATCCAACAAATGCTACACATGCATATCATGCTTTTCATCGCCTCCTAATATAACTTAATTATTAAAAGGCTCATCATTTACCAAAATCTATCCACCACTTTTTAATTTTACATTTTGATTCTTTTCTAAGAGAAAAAAAGTTCAAATTAAAGCGTCGAGATAAAAAAAAAAAAAAAAAGTGATAAGGAATAGTCTGTATACATACTCCGTACTTTATATGTATATATATGCATGTATATATGTACTTTTTACGGAGTAAAAAAAACAAAGGTTTGGTGTATGTACAATAATATTAATTTGTACTGAGTATTTTATACTACGTATATTTGTGTCCGACAATTAGGCGTTGACCTTTGTTTTGGCTTTTCATTTGTCAATGCATTATATTGGCCATTAATCTTATATTAACAATATATTTATCGTAAATTGTTACAGTATTACAAATGGATGATAAAAATGATATAGATTTCTGGTGGCCTATCCTGGGGTTGACACCCCTGAATGTAATTTCATAGATTTATTCCAATTGAATAGGTTGGTTGCATACATATATATATTGATGGTAAACGAGATTTGACTTTGAATAATGTACACGTACATTTTAGAGTACACACTATTGGAGATATGATATGCTGTAGCTTAATATCAGCACTGGTTGATATGGAGGAAGATGATACCAAGCACATGATATCATCTCCAATATAATATATAAATCCTACGGAACGGTTCACACATGCTTGTATCTATGGCAACATTATTATTATAATGTTAACCCATTCAAAGTCATCAGTATGCTAGATTGCTAGCTGATAACTATCGAACCATGCATTCATCTAGAAGACGTACATCAACAACGAAGTGAACTAACAAACACCGGCCAATGCAAGCTGCAAATGAAAACATTCAAGTCAGTGACAACGAATTTTACTCCTCTACCTCCTTTTTTCAAAGTTAAACATACAACTTATAATGGGTCATGTGTATGTATATTATCATGGTACTTATAAGCCTGCTGGTTTAACAAAAACAAACTATTACTCCGATATTTCTTATATTTTTTAGGTTTAGAGATTGTATGGAGTATTTAATAAGTTGATACAATAAGATAAAACTGATAAACAACTTACGATGGATAGGGATTTATATATTGTAATTGCGAAGAATAATTCAAAACTTAATTGTAAAATAAATGCCAATGTCAATATTGATATTATCATATCATGATGTAATCCATTATGAAGTCCTCAATTATACTCAATGAATGACTACATCAACATGCATTGGGCCGGGATTTTATTAGTTGTAATTGCAAATTTAAGTATGTAAGGAAGAGGATGATATACAAGAACCTGCATCAGAAATTTTTAATACAAATTCTTGACCAAGATAACCTTCACCAAATAATATAGTTGATACATGGTACTCGATAATTAATATTTGCAACACACATACCATACAATGATAAAGTGATTATTATAATAGGTCAACGAACAAAGTAATTTTATAACTTAGATAATTGGAGTATAATTAAAACTATCATGACCTTGTCCAATCCATTTATTTACCATATTGGTAGTAAACTAATACTAATAAAGTAATTTTAAGTTTTTGTCCGTTCAAATTCCTAATTTTTTTTTTTTGTTTTATTAAACTACATGTCAAGCAAGCAAGCAAGAGAGTGTGCAATTGGCATATGTTATACGAAGTATGTATATTGCAAGTATATAACAAAAACATCTTTATTTTTAATAGCATTTCAAAGGAAATACTTATGTGATTAACTTGCAATATAACTTTATGTCTATATATGTATATAATTATATAATTACATGTTGAGCACCTATCTAGGGTAAGCCGGTAAGATGTATGTCATGTATCATTATTCACACACGCATACAAATATTAACATCGTAGTCATGCATCAGTGCATCCAAACGGTTACTATTTGTGATGCATATACATGATATATACATCCATCCAACCATTTTTGTTGTACTGCATCACATGTAATTAATTAATATTGTTCAGTAAATATATCCAATATTATTAGTATATTATACTTTGTGAAACATACGATAGTCACATGTATTCAGTTGAATATATACAACATACTAGCTGAAATGCCGAATTCATCATTTATATTTTAAAATTAAATGCTTATAATTAAGTAGTTAATTAGCTTAGATTTAGATTTTTTGCAGTTCAAAAATGATGATCGAATAAAGTACCTGACGATCATTATTATATGGAGTATTAACAGCTTCTTGTACAACTGTAGCACCACGACCAACAGTACCGCCATCTTTTCATAAATCCACGACTACTAATCTGATTATTCATGATCAGCTGCTGAGGAGGAGGTGGTTGCACATACGTAAGTTGAGGGGTATACGGTGGAGTCGGATACACATAACCCGGTGGGTATACTCCATATCCTAGCCCTGGATACCCTTGTTGCGGTGGGTATCCTACGTGTCCTAGCCCCGAATACCCTTGTTGTAGTGGCCCTGGTGGGTATACTTGCCCCGGATACCCTTGGTGCGGTGTGTAACCTCCGTATCCTTGTATGGTAGGATATCCGCCTTGTGGCGGATATACTGTGCTTTCTGCCAAGTAAACAACATCAAATTAAACATAAATAAAGTTAAAAGAACTTAAATTAATGAACTTAAAGAGAAAAAAAGGCTTTAGAAAGTGATCAATAATGCAAAAACAACAAAATATGCATGCATGAGATTAAAAAAAAAGGTACGTGAGTAGTAAATTCACAAGAAAAAAGAGGAGGGTTGACCTACATACCTTCTTCAGGAGGAGGGTGTTCATGATGAAAACTCATTTTTACTCTGCTTCTTTATTATTTCCCTTTCTTGTTGGAGAGAAATTAAGAAGATCGAAGATAATTAATTTAAGTGGTTCATCTGATTAAATTAATTAAGTAGGGAGAGGGGTTTTCATTATTTGTTAATTAAATTAATTAACGACCCAAACCTTGACTATATCTTTGTTAGAATTGAACGACATACGGTCAAACACGCTTGCTTGTACCCTTGTACTTAATTTTGCATCACAATATTACATACTCTCATCAACTAGTATTTTCCCTCTTAATTGTTATTGAAACCAATTATAATAAGGGAGTCACCATTCTGACCAAGGGATAAGTTTTAATTAATTCTATAATGTAATTAGGGCTTCGGATTTATGTTATTTCTAATTACAACCTTTTCTAATTATGAATGATATGGTCTTCCCTTTTTGAGTACAAGTTAAGGTATATTAGGATGGAGTTTTATTGGTTCTCTGCCTTCTCTCATTCACGAACTCCAATCTTTCTTTTTCTTTAATTAGCTTAATCAATGTAATTCACATGTATATTGTAGCTTATGTTGCGCTTGATAGGTAAGATTATATAATTCATAGCTTAACTTTATGCAAAACACAATGATAAATAAGAATAGGGAAAAACATATTGGCCTAAATGTCCTTTAAACAGTTTTGTTTCGTTTGGTTAAATGTAATACTTGTATGATTTGTCAATTGCTCATGAAAGATGACATCCGCGAATAGGGGAAAAAAAGGGTAAGAAAACAAGCAAATTGACAAATTAATTGATTACACAATGTCGCAAGTAAATGAGAGTACTATTCAAAAAAAAAAAAAAAAAAAGAGTAAATGAGAGTAGAAATTTTCAATTCAAAAATCCAATATACACAAGATATAAATACTAGTAGGATATTACATTGATTTGGGGCAGTTGTTAAGTCTATATAACTATACGTAATATATAAAGTGTGCATAAGTATATAATTCGCAAGCTCGTAAATATATCCCCAATTGTAGAATCACAACGATATTGAGTCAATCAAAGTCATCAAGTTTGGTATTAAAAGCACGCATCCATAAGGCAGCAACAACAAAGAACAGCCAAACTACAAATAAAGAAAACAAATTAGAGTTAGTGATAAATATTAAATCTATAATTGCTCATTTATAAAAAAAAAATATAAATACTTCTTTCGTGTTTTTTTAAATATTACACTTTGACCGACAATTAATATTAATAAAGGTAAAAAAAAGTAAATAAACACATTTTAGAGAGTATAATTATCCATTACAATTCATAAGAATTACTCGTACCTAAAACTTTTTTTTTAAGATGGGAAAATCACAAATTTAGAATGGGATTGTGCATTTGTTCTACAATAGACAACACACTAGGATGTTTCTTCCCTCGTCATTTCAAACCAGTTTTTTTTTTTTTTTTTTTTTTTTTCAATAATCTCGTAATTCCTAAACATTCTTGACGACATTTTTCTCCATCATCATCTTCCTTCTGTAAGTCTGTAATCCACTCTTTCCTAAACAATTATACCTTTTTTTAATTTTAATTTCTTCCTCCAAATTCACATGCAAACTAATTTGTTAGGTATGGAGTTCAGGAATTTCATTTTCTAATTATTTAATTTTTAGGGTTTAACGAAATGGGTATATCTTCCCAATTCTTGGGGGCTTAAATGCTTGATTTTTTTTTTATTTATTTTTTCTGTTTAAACAAAAATTTCAAATTTTTCTATCTATAAGTTTTGTTCCGCTGGGCTAAACGCTTTTTGATTCTGCTGTACAGGTTTTTTAGCGGTTTTGACCGGCCAAACCATGGTCAAACAGCTGATATATGTCCCCAATCCGCTCAAATTGCCCCAAAACTCTATCCACCAGAGCCATGAGCCCATGGTCCATAAGGTAAATTGTTGCTATTCCCTTTTTTATTTTCTTTTGTTTCTTCTATCCCCTTGCATTTTTAAATACTCCATAACTTGAATTCCATATTACTTTGATTATAAAAAGTCCATATTTTAAAAATATAATATGTTATGAAGATGATCACATGTTATACTATCTTTGTTTATGATTAATTGCAATAGTAGGGTATGCACTTAGTATAAGGAAATTCACATGATGAGGATCAAGGTGAAAGATTATGCAATTAAAAAATAATGCAAATGGGTTTGTAAATTTCATCTAGTATATTAACAAAATTTGTAAATCAAGTGACTTTTTTTTTGTAAATTAATCAATAACTTTTCATTAAATGTGGTCTCGAGTTGTTAATTTATTACGTATTTTTGTTGAATTATTTACAAATTTACCACTTAATTTACATTTTTGTTAATAAACTTTAAATTGAATTTGGTTATTGTTGGTAGACTTTGGGATTTATTTGGAAAATGCTTTTGAGCTAATATTTTTATTTTTTTTTTATTTTTATCTAACTCTATAATTTGGCCATAAAAATTTAAATTTGTGACCTTACTTTTCAATTGGCTATATTTATTTACTTTTTTGATAAGTAGATGACCGTTTCCCATTGGCTATGAAGCCAATTTTAAGACCAAATGAAATTTTTGATACAAACAACTTATACTTTTTTGGCTATTTACTTTTTATTTTTGTATAAGCTAAATTATTATTTTAATTATCTTTATATTATATCAACAAATTAGCCAATATGAGATTATACACCACCAATATGTAACCAGGTGATCAAACAAGTAAAGTTAATGAAGTAAACATATAATATGCATCTATGAAAGTAAACCGTAAATATTTTTGGGATGTATTAATGAAGTAATGTAATTACAATTTACTTATGCAAGTAGAGAGTTATTCTATTTATAAATGGAGTTTGGAGTATAATAGAAATAAAGAAAGGAGAACTACTTTTTTTTTTTTTTTCATATGCAGAATATTAAGATAGAGGGATAGAGAGAGGAGTACTATACCATCCTTTCATGAAACCACCACCACCACCACTCTGACTCTGCTGCTGAGGAGGAGGCTGAACATACTGAGGTTGAGGATACTGTGGTGGAGGGTACCCTTGTGGTGGTGGTGGGTATCCTCCATATCCTTGACCTGGATACCCTTGTTGTTGGTATCCTCCCTTGTCTCCTAAGGAAGCAACCAAATTCAACACAGTAAATACCAAGATTACCAAAACAAACCATGGCCTCTGTTTAAATGTAATTGTTGCATAGATGTTCAAATTACAACATGTCAACTACAATATTATGATGATGATGATGGATGATCAAATGAGATAAAGTGCGTAATTCACATAAAAGAAAGAGCTAGGTATAACCTTGTGGAGGAGGATAATAACTCATTTTTCCTTCTTCTGGGATTGGGACAAATGCACGAACTGAAATACAAAATTGTCAAACTAAAGAAGGGGAGGAGGGATCGCGGATATTTTATTGTTAATTAGTTTGATGACCCAATCACCTAACCAAACCTTGACTTTATTATCTATGTTACGCGGTTATACTCTTCCACTACAATTTTGTCCTCCTAATTAGTATCAATATATATATTTTCTATATCTTGTTTCTGAAGCTAAGGTCTTACTCAACATACATATAAATCATTGTGAGGAATATGCCTATCAGCTATACTCATATTAGTCATATATAATGAAAGTCTTAAATCAAATAGATAAGTTTTGAGTAACAGTCTGTAAGATGCCTCTTGAAAATGATACTCGTATTAGTTTCAAAGTAATAATGATATAAAAATTATTTACCACTTACCAGCTATAACCTGAATGGTTGAATCCTTCAACTGCCTCCTTCAACTGCTAATTCCTACATAATTCTTTAATTGATGATGATGATGTGCTGCTAATAAATTTTTAAATCATGCTCACCTAATTCATCCTCATATTCAATTCTGCAGTCAACATTGTTTGATAGATTTGTCTCACAGCCGCCCAGGGTTTAATTAATTTCTTTTTACAGAGTAGATTATCCACATAGACCACATTATGTATGTAAAGAACCTTAATATATACATGTTGTAAGCTTTATAATTACTCTTTACTACTTTAAAACAGCTAAACATATGCAGTATATAATACAACATTATATTTTCCTCGAATAAGAAAGTTAGAACAGAAGGAGTCTAAGGAGAGATCAGACATTATGGATGTCGCATCACTTTTGACACTAGTGCAAGCTTTACTCCAACTTTTAGATTCTTCATTTGCAAACAAAATTGCATCTGCTTGGAGTTTCAAATCCCAGCTTGCAAAGATGAAGGACACTATGACTGCCATAACTGCTATTCTCCTTGATGCAGAAGAGCGAGAGAGACAGCAGTTTCAAAGAAGAAGCAATGTGGAACATGATTGGCTGGAGAAACTTAGGGATGCTGTTTACGAAGCAGATGACCTGTTTGACGAGGTTGCCGCTTTAGCTCGACGCAAAGAACTTATCTCAGGCAATCAACTTGCCAAAGAGCTAAGCCTTTTCTTTTCTCATTCCAACCATTTAGCTTTTGGTTACAAAACATCTCGCAAGGTGAAGAAGATAAGGGAGAGGTTGGATGAAATTGCCAAAGATCATCATGACTTTGGTTCTTCTTCCTTATCACTAGTTACTTCCCCGATGGGGAGAATGATGGTTAAAAGAAGGGAAGACATTCACTCATTTGTAAATGAGGATGTTATAGGGAGAGATGAGGAATATAAGGCAATCTTAGATATGTTAATGGATTCTAGTTTACATGATAATCTTTTTATTGTCACCATAGTTGGGGTTGGGGGTTTAGGGAAGACCACTCTTGCTCAACTCGTCTATAATGACGAGAGGATTAAGAGTGAGTTTCCATTAAGATTGTGGGTTTGTGTGTCCGTTGTATTTGATATCAAAGTAATTCTTCATAAAATTTTAAGCTCAACAACAAATGACAAGTATGACCACCTTGAGATGGACCAATTATGGTGTTTAGTTCAAGAAATCATGAGTAAAAGTAAGTATTTCCTTGTTTTAGATGATGTATGGAATGAGAATCGTCATAAGTGGCTTGAGTTGAGGAACTTATTGATTAAAGGGCAAAGGGGAAGTAGAATTGTGGTTACTACACGTTCTAACATGGTGGCTAGAATCCTAGGGGACAGTTCTACATATGATCTGAAGGGTTTCTCCGAGGAAGACTCGTGGCATTTATTTGAGAAAATGGCGTTTGAAAAAGAGGTTGACCAGATGGATATGGGCCTTGTTGAGATAGGGAAATCTATTCTTAAAAAGTGCTGCAATGTTCCCCTTGCCATAAGAGTTGTTGGAAGTCTTCTTTATGGTCAGGGCAAACCCACATGGCTGTTATTTAAAGACTTAGACTTAAGAAAAATAAAGCAAGAGGATAACAATGATATAATGCCTATACTGAAGCTGAGCTACCATCATCTTGCATTGTCATTGAAGAGCTGCTTTAGTTATTGTGTCTTGTTCCCCAAGGAATATAGGATAGAGAAGGATATTTTGATTGGCTTGTGGATAGCAAACCATTTCATTGTACCCTTAGATGGGCAAAGTGTTGAAGAAGCTGGAGAGGAACATTTTATGACCCTGTTACAAAGGTGCTTCTTTCAAGATGTTGAAAGAGATGACGTTGGTGAGATTGTATCATGCAAAGTCCATGATCTTATGCATGAAGTGGCTCAAGAAGTAGCAGAAACAGACGTTATATATTGTGTTGCAGGCCAATTGAAGAATAATTATCGGCATTTATCTCTAGGACATCTCGACGTGGGAAGCATTCTGAGATCTGTGGGTGATTTGAAACGGCTACGTACACTATTTCTTTTGGGGCATATAAAAGGCTCTCTTGAAGTTGTTGACAGTGACACGAGAGAACTCTTTTCAAAGGAGAAATGCTTGCGTGTCTTGCGCTTATGTCACAAGAGCATTAAATCATTGCCCAACACAATAGATAAACTTATTCATTTGAGATACCTTGACCTGTCGTATAATTATGAGCTGCAGTTTCTTCCTGCAACAATTTGTGAACTAATTAACTTGCAGACATTAAAATTAAAGAAGTGTTGGAGCTTAGAGGAGTTGCCGAAGAACTTGAGAAAACTAGTGAATCTAAGGCACTTAGATCTTAATGATTGCTTCAATTTGAGTCATATGCCACCAGGAATGAGCAACTTAATTTGCCTTCAAAGTCTATCAAGGTTTGTTGTGTGTTTTGATACTACTGCACCTGCTTGTCGAGGTAAGCTGGAAGACTTGGAGATTCTTGCAAACCTCAGAGGCAATCTTCAAATCGTGGTGATATCTACTGATCAAACTCATGATGATGCGAAGCTTACCCAAGCCAAGTATGTCATCAGAGGATTGGAATGTCTGAAGAGTATAAAGGTTAATGGTGGATCTGCAGCACTGTTAGAAGGACTTCAGCCCCATCCTAATGTTAGATGTTTAACATTGAAACAGTACGAGGGGACGACATTTCCAAAATGGGAGTCATCAGAGGACTTGAGGACTTCTCTTCCTGTCCTTCGTGATCTTTTGGGTATTCCAACGGACTTGAAAGAAATCCCTTCACAGCAGGGTTAAGCTAACCCTTTTTTCTTGTGAAAGGTTGCAGCATATCCCATTGTTATGTCGATTGCGTCATCTGACAATCCTTGAACTTAACAGCTTAGATAATTTGGAGTACATCGAAGATAATAGTGGTGATGGTGATGGTGGAGCTTTTTCTGCATCATCTGGACCGAGCACCACTTGGGCAGATGATCAGTCAATGTCATTCTTTCCATCCCTTGAATCACTTTATTTGATACATTTTCCAGAGTTAAAAGGATGGCAGCGATGTTCTTCAGGAGACATGGATTTGCAATTGAGCTATGATGAACAAAACCAACCATTTTTCTTACGCCCAGTACCATATCAATTCCCTCGTCTCTCTCTTTTGGACATCAAACACTGCCCAAACCTAACTTCCATTCCTTTAAGTACAAGTTTGGAAAAGTTGATTCTGTGCTCTAGTTCAGATGAATCAAATTCATTTTTGTCCTATGGGACAGGGATTTCACAACAGCTGACCATTGGATTTGGCAAAAATGAGAGTCTGACAAGTTTGTTTATTGTAAGAGAGGTGTTTCATAACTGCCTATTTCCCACTCTTTGTAGCTTGGAAATTCAGGGATGGAGTAAACTGAAGAGCTTGTGTGGAGGAGGTTTGGAGCATCTCATCACCTTGCAGGAGCTCTACCTACAGGACCTTGATGAATTGGAAGAACTGGATGATCATATGCCTTGGAGATCACTCACCAATCTTCGTTACTTGGGATTGAAAAATCTTCCAAAGCTACTGAGTCTACCTAAGGGAGTTCAACGGATAACTTCTCTTCAATCACTTTCTATAGATGGATGTAACCAATTAGCATCGTTGCCTGGAGCATTGCACAACCTTGTCATCCTTGACATAAGAAATTGCCAAGGCCTGAAAAAGATGCCAAGAGCCTGTTCAGAAGACTAGCTCAAGATTCCACGTCCCCCAAATTTTCATCTTTTAGTGTGAGTACCCTTTGGTTCCTTTGTCGAGAAATATAATCTATTGTTTGTGCTTCAGCATATCCTCATTGCATCTAAAATTAAACAACTGGTTCACGTGCAGAATTATCGACTCCAGCGAAGAGCATTGTTCAAGCGTTTGAATCTGTAAGTCAGGAATTCAGAGAAAGGATAGATAGCTTCATTCCTTGATGGTCAGCGATTCAGACAGGGTCAGTACATCAGTTGTTCAATATTCTCTTTGTTTTCAATTGACTTTATGTTGTAGTAATGATCATTTATAGGCTTCCTCCTCGCGTCATCCTACACATACTTGATTTCACTTCAACTCTAATAGTTTGCAAAATTTCTATTTTTGCTGATATATTTTTTACATTTAAGGACAAGAATAGGAGCTAGATGTAGTCATGTCAGCTTGAACACAGCTTATTTTTGCTCAGCACCATTGTCCTGTTTCCTGTCTTTGACCACATAATGTATTGTTTTACTTAAATATTTAAAATGATTGATACACTATTGATAGCACTCCGACTCCGTATGTGATAAGGAGTACTTAGTTTATTGCATTATGTTTTTAAAGAATTTTGCTTGTTTTACAACGATTTAAAAATAATGGAGTACTTAAAGTGAGTTTGTTTATATTTTTGGTTTACAGGATGATCAAAGCAAACCAGTTCAACACTCAACATGAAATTATTGTGTATACAAGAAGGTCCAAAGCAAGTCAACTTTAACATGAACACTATTATTCTTAACAAATGGCTTCTTATCAATTTCACTTAGCCCAAGTCCTCAACATACTTCATATCAATGTCCTCAGTTGTACTCCCTCCTTACTCTCCTCATCAATCCTCTCTTCTTCACACGTGCTTCTCTAATTGATGATCGGATATGCATTATAGGGATAAAAAGAGGGGGATTTCCCCTGTTTTTTTTTTTGTTTTTTTTTGTCTTTTATTTTTTTTTTTTTTTTATTTTCCTTTTTTTATTTTTATTTTAATGTATTACATTAGAGATACTATCTGAGCCATGCTCAAATTTACCATTGAAGTATAATAAATTTGGGGATCTTTGCATCAAAGGCTAACTAGTATGTGGATCATGTGATGCGCTAGTGATATTTCAGTGAGCTAGTGATATTTAAATATAATTCGTAGTAGGTTTCTCTGTGGTGTTGTAGTTTGTCTATTTGTGTAATGGAGACATTATCATTTTATCACCATTGTTATTGAACCAATAAAAGATGTTTGGTTGTATAGATTTATATAGTTTAAAATGTATAGGTTTGTTATTGACTTAAAAATTATATACGTTAGAATGCATGATTAGTACTGGAATTAAAGAAAGAAGTAAATTATTTATGAGTAAGTGTATATATTCAATATGGTAGAACTACTAAAAGTAAAATAAAAGCTTAGGTCAAATGTTTTTACCTTTATGCAGTTGGGATTTAAACTTTTATTTTAATTTTTGCCCAAAAGGATATATTGGCCTGACATTATGTTGACTTTGTTATATTACTCGTTTATTTAATGAACTTATTACTTAAATATGAAATACTAAATAGTGTTGAATCCACACGATAGGTTAAAAAAAAGTTTAGATAAAATTAAAATAAGTTCAAATAAATAAAAAATTAAAAAAAAAAAAGTTGAAAAAAACACGAATTCAGAATATATACAATACTTTGGAAGTAGCTTAGTTGATCGCTACTTTGTAGACACATCAAGTCTTAAATCACCAAGTTCCATGTAAGAAATTATCATGCACCGTCACGTCAATATAAATTGAACATAATACTTGTATTGTTTTGCCTCTCTTTAGGATATGGCTTATGTTTAATACGAGTTCAAGTTATTGCTATTTATGTACCTTCTTATACATTTTCCTCATCATATTTCTTATACACATAAACATACAAGCAATAATGTGAAAGGGCGTAAAATTACCTTACCCTCGGGTATAGGATTAAATTGTACCAACCACCCTTCCCAAATTCTTCTAAACTTTTGATGGCTTCTTTTCTAGTAATAAATATTTGTTGAGAAGAAGGCGAGCTAATTCCCAACTAAAATAAACTCCTTATGTCACACTCAAGGTTTTAATCAGTCAAGGAGCTGATATATAGTCCTACCTTCCGCTTCTAACTTCTTTACTTTGCTTTATGTCTTTTTCTTATTAACATTACAATCATACAATATACACTTACATTATAAAATGTGTTAGTTATAGTAGCTACAATTATCCTACTAATTCTATTAATATACAATTAGCTAAATAAAACAATGATGATTCCTCACGAAAAAGACCCTTTTTTTGAATTGAACTTAAGAGTTGTGTATTTTTGGTCTTAATGTGCATTTTCTTATCAACCTCCCCTGTTTTATACTCTGCTTTTTCTTTGTATATTAAGCTATAATAAGCATATGCCAAGCTAAGAAGATTAACAAGAAAGAATGGCTGCACCTAAAGCAGAGAATCTCGGGCCGTTTCCGGTGAAGGAGCAACTTTCCTCAGTTGATTTTTGCCTCACTAGCAATCCTCCTTGGCGTCAGTTCTCTTTCTTCATTTCTCCCGCGCTTTTTTCTTTTATCATGTTTAATTATTTTTGTTGAGTAATTACTATTGCTTATTGGTTAATTTTTTTTAGAATGAATGAGTGAAGTTATACTGTAGTTTTGTTACTCATATGTGCTCACTTACTTGTTTGTGATGTTATTTGATTTCATTTTTTTTAAGAAAGAAAAAATGATATTTTGGTAATATGTTGAATGCTCCTTGATTTTATTATGTAAAAAAAATGAAAAACTGAGACAATTAGGAAACATGATAATAATATTTTCTACCATCCAGTTTTTTGTCATTTTTAAGAAAAAAAAATTAAGAAAATAGCCTGAAAATTATTATATGGGGTAGAAAGAGTTCTAAGCATTTACATTAACAAGGTAACTTTTTAATTAAGTTTCTTGTGATTTTATTTCACCTACCTAGCAAAAAACACTTAACAAAGCTCACTTTGGTTCTTTGAAAACATTCAGATACATTTGATTCATTCAGATACATTTGATTCAAGAAAAATTCGTTTGATCTTTTAGAAATTGTCTATTGTTTTTATAAACAGATTTCTCTGTGCTGTTATATAGCTCATATAGCCATTTATTTTCCATGTTTCTCCTCATTCGAGTTCAAGGCATACGTAATGTACCAGAGCTTACACGTTACACCCCCCCCCCCCCCCCCCCACCCTTTTATTTTTCTGTAAGGCTTCATAAATCTAATTTGGCTTTTGTGAAAATGCAGATGAAGCCGTCATTCTTGGGTTTCAGCATTTTTTAGTAATGCTTGGGACTACAATTATGATAGCAACCATACTTGTTCCTCAAATGGGAGGTGGACCGGTATATATCTTTTGTAATTATCTGAATTATATTGTGTTATATGTAATCAATATCCTTCCTTAGAAAGTTTCACTCAAAATTTGACAGGTAGAGAAGGCTCGTGTGATACAGACTTTGCTCCTTGTATCGGGACTGAATACCCTTTTGCAGACTTTAGTTGGTTGTAGGACAGCAGTAGTCATAGGAGGTTCATATGTATATGTAATTCCTGCTATCTTCATAATCTTTTCTGACCGTTTTGGCAGGATCATTGATCCTCATGAGGTTTGCATCCTATCAACCTTTTCATTTCAGTTCTCTTATAACAAATTTTGTTAGCATTTATTGTCCTTACTAGGTATCGCCAATGTACATGTAGAGGTTCGTGCAATCAATGAGAGCACTCCAAGGGGCATTAATGTTTGCATCAATATTTCCTGTGGTAATTGGTGTTTTGGGATTCTGGAGGATTGTTATAAGGTAAGAAGTTGATAATTTTGCATTATGTATTAGCTGATAGCTTGTTACAATAGTCATTCCTGCTCTCTCTCTCTTTCTCATAGAAGTCTGCTGTTGTAGGATCTTAAGTCCGCTTGCTGCTATTCCTCTTGTTACTCTAACTGGACTCGGTTTATTCCAGTTTGGTTTCCCTCAGGTATTTTCAAACTCAAATCTAAAATGGTACTATATGTCATTGTTTTTGCTTTGTCAAGTTGGATTCTCGGATTATTTAGCATGTTGATTGATCATTAATCCTATATTGCTTTGTCCTGCTTCAGTTCATTATAAACAAAGCTGACATGTTTTGGTATTGATGTGTAATGCTAGCTGGCTAAATGCATTGGAGTCGGACTTCCAGCTCTCATTGTCATGATTTTTATCTCCCAGGTGAGTAGCATCATGTCCTCCCATGACAATCCTCGTATTCATGGTACTACATAGTTTATATTTGAGGTCGGTCCAGTGGATTACATTAATCTTGCCTATCTAAAGTTTTTCCCAGCAGAAAACACATGAAAAAACAGGTATACTTGTAGAAGATTTGGGGCATCCTGAATTATAGGTTGTTGTACATATACAGAGAATTTATTGCCTTTTTCTCTAAGATGTGACATCAACTTTATTGCAGTATATGGCTAGCTTGCTGAAACCATTACAAGCCTTATGTCGTCGATATGCTGTAATAGCAACAATTGCCCTTATCTGGGCTTTTGCTGCAATCCTGACTGCAGCTGGTGCTTTCAACCGCAACTCCCCTAACACTCAGTTTTACTGTCGCACTGATCGTTCTGGTCTTATCAGTGCTGCTTCTTGGTGAGTAAACTTTCTTCAACTCAAAAATATTTCAACCTTCATTTGTAATCCTAGAAATTATGCTTTATTTACTTATGTTAGTTGTTTAGTCAATACAAAATAGTGTAATTTTCTCAAGGTAAAAACACACTAAGATTCGTTCCATTTCATAATTATGTTTGTGATAATTTGGTGTAGGATACGTGTCCCTTATCCATTCCAATGGGGACGTCCAACTTTGAATGTTGCAAATGGTTTTGCTGTAATGGCTGCTGCTTTTGTATCTATGGTTGAGGTTTGCTTTTTTTTTTTTTTTTTTTTTTAAACTTCGTATTATATTCCACTGCGTACTACCCTCTCTTTACAATTCAAGTACTATTATACTTCAGTATCAACGCTGATTGTCACTACCTTGGTGTATGCCTGTAGTCTACAGGCACATTTATTGCAGTAGCAAGATATGGCAGTGCCACTCCAATGCCGCCTTCAATTGTTAGCCGTGGAATTGCCTGGCTGGTAGGCTTTAATCTCATTGTATCACTCTTATATTCCCATAAAATCTTAATTTCTTATCATCAGTCTAATAAGCTTCAATTTGATATTGGCAACAGGGTGCAGGACACTTTTTGAATGGCATGTTTGGAGCAATTTGTGGCCCAACTGCCTCAGTGTAATATATAGTTTCTCTAAATTTCATTCAGAAATTTCAAATACCATATGATGAACCACATATTTCAGAGGGACTCTTAGAGCTTCTTCCAAAGAATTTATTAGAGCTAAACCACCTAAACTTTATAAAATTTTCTGCTCCTTTGGTTTTCAGCGCGAATGCAGGACTTCTGGGACTCAACCAGATTGGAAGTCGCAGAGTTGCTCAAATAGCAGCTTTTTTCATGCTTCTCTTTTCAATTTTAGGTGGGTTCAAATCATCATTGCTATCTTAACTCAGCTTAAATAAATGAATGCTCAATTTTCCTTTGTTTTCTGGTTATGTCATGATATCTTTCCTGCAAATAGGAAAATTTGGGGCACTCCTAGCTTCAATACCTCTACCAATATTTGCAGCTCTGTACTGCATTCTTTTTGCTTATGTTGGTAAGTATCTTCAACACAAAAAATAGTAGTTTAAGTATGATTGAAACTTGGTCTGATGTTCAACTTGCTATATGCTCTAATTTCATATATTGAATTTCATCTTCTTCTAGTTAGTTACTTTTCTGAAAATTAAAATTCCTATGCAGTCTCAGCAGGGCTAGGATTTTTGCAGTTCTGCAACCTGAACAGCTTCAGAACAAAGTTCATACTAGGATTCTCGCTTTTCATGGGCCTTTCAGTGCCACAGTACTTCAATGAGGTTCTCTTGGTTTCTGGTCACACTCCTGTCAACACGAAATCTATGGCAGTAAGTTTACATCATTATCTTACTGAAATCACATTCATCCTATTTTAGTGTCATAATCGCCTATTTAAGATGTAATAATGATCTATTACGTCATTGGTAACAGTTCAACAGCATAGTGCAAGTGATTTTCACGTCTCCTGCAACAATTGGAGGCATCCTGGCATTGCTCTTGGACATAACTCTCCACCGTAGCCATGCTGATACACGGAAAGACAGTGGTAGGCATTGGTGGAAAAAGTTCAGATCCTATGAGTCAGACACTAGGAGTGAAGAATTCTATTCTCTTCCTTGGGGCCTCAACAAATACTTTCCATCTGTGTAATCAGACTGATGACTATTAAATACAAAATAAGCAAACTGAGGAGATTATGGCTTGGATCTATGTTTCATTTTGTGTTCTACATGATGATACTGTGAAGTATATCTGTAAAAAAATTGATACTGAATGAAGATGCAACTATACATGAAGGCGACATATGAGAAGATACATTGTTTTGAGGAAGTCTAATTACTGACATAATTGGCTAATTTATACTACAGGTTAACGTTCATGTTTCCAGCTGATCCCTGATCTATGCAAATTTGAAGCTTATCTTAGCCTAGGATTTTGATAGCTTGAATGTAAGTTATAGCTATATACCAATTTTAATATAATGATTGGAAAGTTACAGGTACTTAAAGTGAGAAATTTTGTAGCGACAAAATCATCACGGTTTATAGACTGAATTTCTGCAATAAACATGGTATATATTGATTAGTAAATAGGTCAGAGTAAATTCCAAGGGTATATATCTGCTAATTACCAAAGAGAGTAATACAAACATTACTGAGATGTACATCACTTGTTTAAGTTAACCAGTAAATCTTACATCATCTGCTCATCACTTTCAATGGGCTTACATACATGGATCACATTAGACCATTGCATATTGGATAGCTACTTTAGACAATGTTGGACTTACCTTATAAAAATGCTGTAAATAATCACTCACAACCACCTTCGTATACTCGTAATCACTCGAATCATCACTCTCAACACGCTTGATTTCCTTCGACAGTGGTGGATTACAGAACAACGCCAAAGAGTATTGTTCTGAATCAGCTTGTGTGACAGCCCTATGCCAAGAACTTTGAACTTTTGCATTGCTCATTATCTCAGGAAAATCTCCAGCATTGACAAGTAATGCATCAGTAGGCCATGGAACACTTAACCAAATTTTCTTATCTTTGTGCATAACTTGGAGACCACCTGAAGTATCAAATTGCATCAGAAGAGTAAGAACAGTACCATCTGTATGTGGGCTTAAGCCCATTGTTGATTTGGGCTTTGGACAAGGTGGGTAATAGTTGATTCTTACATTAATCTCTCTAGTTTTTGGGTCAAAAAATTTAACAAAAGCATTTTTCTCAAGAGATAATGCTTCAGCTAGTGCTTGGAGTATGTCATCACTCAGTTTTCTTGCCTCCTCTGTATAGCTTTCAATAACTTCCCTGATTACAACAAATCTTGGGTTAACCCAACTCTGATCAAATGAATTCAGTTAGTTTATAAAAGTTCCGATAAGTTAAGATAAACACAAATTTCAGGACGAGTATAAGATATGTGTACAGTAAAATTGTGTACTGTCAACCCATTCCTCAGTTAAAAAAAAAAAAGCTAGCTACACTCATCTTATAATAGCTTTACGGTTAACAAGATTACTTCAAGTGAAGGGAACACGACCTCTAACAATAAGTTGAATGTCAATTACACGCGATTTTAAGGATATGTACCTGAAATTAGCAGGTTTTTGAGGCCAAACATGCCCATGAGTTGATCTTTAGAAGATACCTTCATTGTCAAACGATCAATCCAATCAAGAGGTTTATCATCAGACTTAACAAAATTTCTACCATAACCCATATTATCTACTGAAGCATATGTTCCAACGGACCTTTTCTTTTCCTCAAAGGAAAGCTTAAAAAACCCCTTTATTACTTCCTTAGCAGCAGACAACAAAGAAAATGGTATACCATGGTCCCTAACCAAGACCATGCCATATTCTCTAAGTCCGTCGGCCAACTTTTGTAGCTCATATTTTCTCTCCTCCACCTCACTAGCGCGTAATCTAGCCATACTTATGGATGGAAAATTCTCCGGCAAACAAGAGATCGCGGTGCTTAGAGTGTCCGAGGGTGGCCTAAGGAACATTTTTGGTACATCTTGGACACCATGACGTGCAAGTTCTTGTACCACGGGCACCTTAAGGACTCTTAGGGAGCCATCTTGACTAACAATGGAAGTTTCATGGAAAGAATCTTGGGTGTCCATAATTCTCAAAGTTTGCAAGAGATTAAAACTTGAAATAACAAAATGATTGTTATAGAGCTATGAGAGGTCAAAATGGGTACTTAAAAAAAGGGGAGTATCTCTTAATATCTAATATCCATAATAGTTTAAGTTATGATGTGTTCTAATCATCTAACTCTTACTTTTCTGAATTATCTTATCCTATATAAATTTATCTAAACGTATTTGAAATTATCTAAATTTATCCAATCTCACTAGAACTTATTTTAGGCTTAAATTGAACTTAGGTAATCAAGCTTATTAAACTTATTAATAAAATAAACAGAACAAGATCTTAGTGGTTTAATCGGGATAACAAATCAAGTTGTTATTGTAGGAAAGATTTAGTGGGGTATAAAAAGATTCTTATTTCTGTTGTTTAAAATGTTGATGACCAAAACAATAATGGACTACTTGATATATGTGGCCAAGCACTATCTTATTGTGAATGGTTTGTATAACCCGTGATCCCGTGATGTACATCGCTTCGACTCAATTTCATTTGTAAATAGATCTATCAAATCATGCGTGAAGGTTGGATTCGGGTCATTTTTAAATAGGTTGGATCATACTCGTATCATATTTATTTGGGTTTACAAGGCTATGTTGTGTTCAATGCGGGATTGGTTCAGTTTGAATTGTTCTTCGATCGTGCACGTCAATTATTAAGAGCCCTGATCTATTTGTAGCTTTTTGTTTGTTGATCACAAGGTTCCACAAAACCCCATTTTGAATACGTTCCTTGGCCATGTCACATACGGAGTACTTCCTATGTTTTACTATAAACAACCAATATCAATAATGGTAGATGTAACATCAGTTATATCACTAGTAACAACCAACTTTAACAAAAGAGTTCATTCATTTATACCTCAAGGGTTCAAAAACCCTCATAAGGCGAAAGCCAGAGTTCAAAAAAAAAAAATTTGAAGGGAGGTACAAAAACTTGAATAGGATTAGCTAGGAAAAGAAAGGAAATTGGATGTTGATCACTTTTTGTATTGCAACCTTATTAGTACATCAATCGATTGATGCTCTGATCCTATTAGACCATTGCAAATTTCATAGCCACTTTCGGTGATGTTTGACTTACCGTATAATAATGTTGTAAATAATCACCCACAACCACCTTCTTATACTCGTAATCACTCAAACCATCCCTCTTAATAGGCTCGATTTCCATCGACAATGGCGGATTAAAGAATAAAGCCAAAGAGTACCTCTCTAAACCAGCTTGCGTAACCGCCCTATGCCAAGAACTTTTAACCTTTCCATTAGTCATTATCTCTAGAACATCTCCAGCACTTACTAGCAATGCATCACTTGGCCATGGAACACTTAGCCAAATTTTCTTGTCTTTGTGCATAACTTGTAGACCACCAGAGGTATCAAATTGCATGAGAAGAGTAAGGGTAGAACTATCCGAATGTGGGCTTAAGCCCATTGTTGATTTGGGCTTTGGACATGGTGGATAATAGTTTATTCTTACATTGATTTCTCTTGTTTTTGGGTCAAAATATTTGACAAAGGCATTTTTCTCTTGAGATAATGCTTCAGCTAGTGCTTGGAGTAAATCATCACTCACTTTTTTAGCCTCCTCTGCATACTTTTCAATAACTTCCCTGGTATATTACATAAAACACGTCTTTTCACAAGTATAGAGGTACACCAATGTGCACATATGAAACCGCAAATAAAAGAACAGTATGTACATACTCCGTTGTAGTTTGATAGTAACACAATTACTTGTATTATATAATATGAAGTCACATGACAAGTGTACACAAAACCTCTAACAAAATCATGTAAAAATTACAAGTTACCTTGTTTACAATTTGAAAGTTACCCTCAATTAAATAAAAATGATGATAATCGTTAATAGACCATATATAAATAAATCAAAAATTAAAATTATAAGGGAGGATACGTACTTGAATTCAGCAGGCTTTCGAGGCCAAACATTGAGCCCATGAGATGACTCTTTTGGAGATACCTTCATAGTCAAACGATCAATCCAATCAAGAGGCTTATCATCAGTCTTAGTAACAAAATTTCTACCATAACCCATATTATCCAAACTAGCATACGTCCCAACATTTTTCTTTTTTTCTTCAAAGGACAACTTAAAAAACCCCTTTATAACTTCCTTAACACCAGACAACAACGACAATGGTATGCCATGGTCACTAACCAATACCATGCCGAATTCTTCAAGACCGGCAGCCAACTTTTGTAGCTCATTATTTCTCTCCTCCACATCCTTACCGCGTAATGTGGCCACACTAACGGATGGAAAATTCTCAGGCAAACAAGTGATCGCAGTGTTTAGGGTGTCTAATGGCGGCCTAAGGAACATTTTTGGTACGTGTTGGACTCCATGTCGTACGAGTTCTTGGACCACAGGCACCCTAAGGAATTTTATTGAACCATCTGGGCTTAAAATGGAAGCTTCATGGAAATATTCTTGAGTGGCTCCAGCCATCTTTTTCTTGATAGTTGATACTTGATAGAGATTACTCAAGTGATTTATTGGTAGTGATGCATAATTAATCAAGTGTGTTTATAATAGGAAGAGGTCTAATTTGAATTAATCGAAAGATGCTTAATGGTTTGATTGAAATAAAATTTTAATCAAGTTGCATGCTTATATTTATTAGATATAATGATTTGGTGGGAATATATATAATTCGATCAAGTGGTTTATAATAGGAAATATTTTTGTAGTCTATGAAAAGATTCTTTTTTCTAGTTCAAACCATAAGACTAATGAGCTGCTAATAGTTATTGTTTGGGGTCCAAATAACTTATATTGGGCCCGGTCCATAAATGAAAATAAGCAAAGCCCAAATGGCAAGGTTCAACCCTCCGGCCCATGCGCCAGGTCAGTCAATGAAGCCCGGTCAAATGGTCAGCCCATTTTGACTCCTCAAGTCCACTCCATTCATTTGGACAAAGGTATAAAAGCTCAATTATCTCATTCATTACATTCATTCACAATTATAGCCTCAAGCAACAAACTCTCTTGCATAGCAATTCTCTCACCATTTTACACTCGTACTGACTTCGGCATCGGAGGGGCCTTCCTCGGCACAACCCCCGAGGCCAGTTTACGTTTGTTCAGCTGTGCAGGAAATCCTCAACTCGGTCATCACTCGAATTGGGCTTCGTCTCCACTCATCCGAAGGACCTACTGAAGGTCTATTGTTTTCTAACCGAAACAGTTATAATAAGAATAAATGTTTTATGGTACTATTGCCATTTGAGTAATGTGCAATGGTTTGAATGACTCAATTGTACTATTTGTAGGATTTAGTTCTTTGAAATATCTCGAGCACTTTCTCATTTTTTCTAGATTTTAATATTACATGCAGGTAAGTAACTAAGTAAGAGTATACAAAATTATCTTAGCTTATATATAGTCAAACGAAATTACAAATAAATGGAGAGCCAAATGCATACTTCAAGATGAGAAAGAAAAATGATTTAAGAGAAAATGGACCTTCATTTGAACCACATCCAAAATAATGTAAAAAATTTAGGGTTTTGATCAAGTTCAAACGATCGAACGACAATGAGTTACTATTCACAATTTATATATCTGCTTGCAATTGTCATGTTTCATACTTTATTTTTTTTAAAAAAATACTATGTTATTATAATTTTGTCAATCAATAAATTAAGGGCACGTTTGTTAAATAGAAAAGAACCTTAGTAAAAATACTAAGAATTTATCTTTTCGAGAGAAAAAAATTTCCCTCTAGGGTTCGCTCTTGGGAGAATTTCATCTAGCGAGTGCTAGTTTTCGCTTCGCTTCGAAGTTTTGTTTCTTGATTCTTGATTCTTTCTTCGTTTCTTTCGATAGCTGCTGATTCCTCACATGACGATCTGGAGAGACGTGCCCTTATAGACATGAATAAAAAGACTAGGAGATTGAATGGGAGGAAGAAGTAGGGGGAGGAGAGTGACTAGATCGAAGTTTATGTTGTTGGTAGGATTCATACTTCTCGTAATATCAATTCCAATGCTCTTATTGCAACCATGAAGATTTGGAACCCTAAACACGGATGCGAGGCGAACAACATTGGAGACAAAACCTTTTTCTTCCAGTTTCACCATTGGAAGGATAAGCAATCGGTGATGAGCTCTTAGCCATGGCATTTTGATCATCATATCTTGATTTTAGACGACATTCGAGGTAATTCGAAGCCTTCTGAAATCCCTTTGCATAAACTTCCCTTTTGGATTAGAGTCTATGATTTGCCTTTTAAAGGGCGTAATAATGAAACCAATGCAAAACGAATTAGAGACAAGATTGGATTGTTTCTTGAAATGGACAAATCTGACATAATTGGCATTAATAAATCTCTACGAATAAGGGTTCTTGTTGATGTGAATAACCCTTACGGAGATCGGTGGAGGTTATGAAAAGGAGGGGTATGATCGAAGTACCAATTAAGTATGAAAAATTGTGTGTTTTGTTACATTTGTGGAATGTTGGGTCATGGTGAGAAAGATTGTGATGAGAATATTGTGCCTCGAAAATTTAATGAAAAATTAAGGGTTTCGACCCCATGGAAAGCGACCAAAAATGAAGTTCCTAATGATGCCTCTAGTCTTACTAATGCTGTCAAACGCCTCTTCATTACAAAAAAGCAGCTTCATATTGAGAAGGAGGAGGAGAAAGAAAAAAATGAGGAGGGCAGGAATAAAAAGGAGGGGATGCTAATTTCTGACATACTGAAGGAGAGTAGTACAGAAGTGGTGGAGGTAGATGAGAAGGATAGGGGACTAGAGGAAGAAAGGGTAGAACTTGGGGGTGAGGAAGTGAGGGAAGATTTTAGTATGATTAAAGCAGCAGGGGGTTTTCAACAAGGGGTGAGGGAGATGGTGTGTGGGGAAGGTGTGCACGAAGCAAACCTGAAGTGTATACCTGATGATGTAGGTGCAAAGGGGGGCTTAAGGCAGTGGAAGAGAATGATTAGAACCGAGGGGAAGGCAGGAGGTCAAAAGTCAGAGAGTTTAGAAAAAGGGAAGTATGGAAGGGAGGAGGGTGAAGTTGAAGTGGATCATGACCAACATATTTCAAAGAAAATCATTTATACTTCTTTTTTGAATGGTGTGGGACCATTGGCGGAGGTTGGGAATAGCCAACCCCGCTAAACCCAATGAATGTGCTAGCTTGGAACTGTCGGGGGATGTGCAACCTCCGATCAGTTGTAATCTCCGAAAATGGGTTCGAAATCATTGCCCAAGTTTGTTCTTTTTAGCTGAGACGATGGTGAATATGAAGATAGTGGAAGATCTCAAGGGAACTCTTGGTTTCCATAATGCATTTGGTGTTTCGAGCCGTGGTAAAGCTAGAGGTCTTTGCTTGTATTGGAAGGAAGATGTTGACTTTAGAATACTCTCTTTCTCCCAACATCATATTTGTGGAGATATTTGGGGTGTCGATGGAGGGCATTGGAGATTCGTGGGTATCTATGGATGGGCAAAAACCGAAGAAAAAGGCAATACTTGGAAGCTCTTAAAACACCTTTGTGAAGAGGATGTTCCAATTCTTATAGGGGGAGATTTTAATGAAATCCTTTCTTATGAGGAAAGGGAAGGGGTGCTGGAGCTATAAGAAGGGAGATGGGAAATTTCAGAAAGACAATTGAAGAGATTGGGCTTCGTGATTTGGGTTTTGTGGGTTCATGGTACACTTGGGAGCGTGGCCGTAACCCATCAACTCGAGTAAGGGAACAGCTGGACAGATTTTTGGGTTCGGAAGGGTGATGTGCTTGGTTTCCTCATGCCTCAGTTGAGCACCTTGTCAGGTGTAAAAGTGACCATACCCCTCTACTTCTCTCATGTGCAGCAAAAAAGAAAGAAAAAAAGAGAGTTTAAATTCGAAACTTGTTGGCTATTAGATGAGACATGTGAAGATGTTGTTAGGGATCCCTAGGAGGATTCGATGGGGAGGGGAGTTCTTAAAAAGGTGGCAGGTGTTAGCAGGAAGCTGGTTTTTTAGAGTGAGGAAAAATTTAATCAGCTCGAGAAGCAAATTAATGCGGTTGAGTTAGCTCTGAAGGAAGCGCAAGCAAAACCCACTAATCTTGCAAGCTGTAAAGAATGCGTGAAATTAGAACAACTCCTTGATGATCTCAATGAGAAGTGTGAGGCATATTGGCACTTAAGAGCAAGGATTACTGAAGTTCGTGACGGCGACAAAAATACGAGATATTTTCATCACAAAGCTTCCCAACGTCAGCGATAAAATACGATTGTAGGCTTATAGGGTACGGATGGCACATGGCAGGAAGGAGAAGAAGAGATTGAGGGGATCATTTGCAATTATTTTGATGCAATCTTTACTTCTCGAAATCCTATAGCTCATGATTACAATGTGGCTCTGAATTATGTGCAAAGAAAAATCTCGGCTGAAATGAATGCAGAATTAAATAGGCCATACACAAAGGAGGAAGTTCATAGTGCTTTGAAACACATGCACCCGAGTAAGGCACCCGGTCCGGATGGAATGCATGCCGTATTTTATCAGCGATTTTGGCATATTATGGGAGATGACGTGGCAAAGTTTGTAATGAGAATTTTGAACGGTAATCTTTTTCCTGAAAATGTCAATAAAACAAATATTGTTATGATCCCGAAAATAAAAGAACCAAAAAATGCTTCGGATTATCGTCCTATTAGTTTATGCAATTTCATCTACATGCTTGTGTCTAAGTGTATTGTGCTCCGTCTGAAGGGTATTTTGGGTGATGTTATTACCGAAAATCAGAGTGCATTTGTTCCAGGGAGATTGATCACAGATAATGCGCCAGTGGCCATGGAGTTATTTCACATGATGAAGAATCGGAGCAAAGGGAAGAAGGGTCATATAGCGATGAAATTAGACATGAGCAAGGCCTACGATAGAGTTGAATGGGGCTTCCTTAGGCAACTTCTGTTAAAAATGGGCTTTGATGGCCGATGGGTGAACCTCATAATGACTATTGTTTCAACAGTGAAATATTCCATTGTCATTAATGGAGGTGTTTACGGCTCGATGACCTCGTCTAGAGGGTTAAGACAGGGTGACCCATTCTCTCCTTATCTGTTTATAATTGTTGCTGATGCATTTTTTCAGATGATTCAGGGAAGAGTGACTTTGGGAGACATTCATGGTGCGAAAGCAAGCAGGAATGGTTCAGCGATTTCTCACCTTCTTTTTGCAGATGACAACCTACTTTTTACTAGGGCCAACCGACGAGAATGCTCAATTATTGTTGATATTCTCAACCAGTATGAAGCAGCATCCGGGCAAAAAATTAATTATGATAAATCGGAAGTGTCCTTTAGTAAAGGTGTGAGGGTGGAGCAACGAGAAGAGATTATTGGGATCCTTAAAATGAGACAAGTGGAGCGCCATGAGAAATACCTTGGGATTCCGAGTATTTTGGGTCGATCAAAGAGAGTTGTTTTTGATGCATTGATAGATAGGGT